TTCTTTATATGTATGGAATCCTTGTCACATATACTATAACTTTGGTTAAGCTAATTTATCCTAAATAACCTTTTATCAAAATATCGTTTTATTTTTTTAATTATCTAGGTCGAATCTGTGGCCGTTACTTTAACACCCATAAAATTCAAGCCAATTTAAAACTTTTTTAAACAATCCAAAAACCATTAGTTATTACAAAACTTGTTTTCAATAGGTATAATATCAGAGTATCCCAGAAACATAAACATAAATATGAGGAGCTGTACGATCACGCCTTCGCCTTGCCGCGATCCCCTGATGTACCTGAAACAATAAACTGAAACTGTAAGCCCGAGGCATAGTGAGTTCCCCCAAAATACCTATACCCACAATAATACACATATAATCGTAAACAACATACTATGGGTCCAGTCAACCATCGAGTTGGAATACCCCAGGCCCTCAACCATCCGGTTGGAATGCCAACATACAATGGGTCCAATCATCCTCGGGGTGGAATACCCCAGGCCCACAACCAACAGGTTGAAATGCCCACACACTACGAGTCCAATCATCCTCGGGATGGAATACTCACGGCCCACAACCTACAGGTTGGAATGCCCAGGTCTATTGGCCTTCGCACAAAGCAGATAAGCCTCAACCGCTAAACAAACATGTGCACATATAACATATAATCACATAACAGTCTATAGACAATACTTGATCTAACGGATCATACTACGTAGCACATAACACCATCCTATCTACCAGGATGTCGATCTAACAAATCATACCACATATAATATAATATTATCCTACCCTCTAGGATACCGATCTAACAGATCATACTAGCATAACATAACCAGATAACAATCCAAAGGGCCGGCCTTGGTGCCTTAGACCCTTGAGTATAGTGAGGAAAACTCACCTCGCAAGTAGTGCTGAAATACTGTAATTCTCTGACTGCTGTCTCACCGGGAATCCCGAACTGTCACATAATAATAAATACTAGGTTAATACCCAGCATTACTCCCTTGACTAAGTGTCCTCATAACTCATTAAGTCCATTCCCTTTTTTTGGCCAAAGTCCCACACCAAGCCCTCAACTTGGAAGTCCATATACATAAGTCCAATATTCACTACTAGAAAACAACCCTTTAATGACGCGCAAACAATGATACGCGGTGATTTACGATACGCAAAAACGTGTGCCCTGAAAATAATGTCATCTCTTCTAAAATTTGAAGGATAGAGGACACGCTTTTGTGCGTGCCCTAAAATTAATGTCCAACAAAAAAAACTAAAAACACGGAGGGCACTTATTTAAAAATGGATGTCGTCTAGAAATGTCGCATTATATTTTTTAATAAAGGGCGCGTTCTCTTCTTTTGCAGCTGGGGGGAAACGAAAATCCCAAAAGTTTGAAAGGCCTCCATTGTTATCCTGTATCTTATTTCCATCGTTCTTTTCTATCTCTCTCTCTCTCTCTCTCTCTCTCTCTCTCTCTCTCTCTCTCTATATATATATATATATATATATATATATATATATATATATATATATATATATATATATATATATATATATATATATCATTACCTATATGTTAAAGAGTTTTACTTTGGTGCACGTCGATGACCTGCTTCCTTCCTCCGATACGAAGAATGCGGGGCGGCCTCATTTAACGTATACGGTGGTGAAGCTTGGCTGCCAAGCTGTGACCTCACGCTGAGGTAGGAGACTTCACGGTGGGTTTTCCTCTGGCGTTTCCCCCAAAGCTACTTGCCAGTCTTCCATCCCCTTTTACTCCACCGATCCTTCATTGTGGCTGAGTCACCCCTCCGACTTCTTACACCTGGGTAAGATAATTATAAACTGAATTAATCTATTTTTGTTTTTTGGTTCGATTGGCAATGATACTTGACGCTTACGACCCTCAACGCATCCCTTCTCTTCTGTCTTTTGAAATTATATCTATTTTGGATCTCAATTTTAGATTTTTTAGGTCTTCAATCTTGATCCTTTTGGTTTTACAATCGTTCTTCTACCTCATCTGCCCTACTTCGTCGCCGTTTGACTTGACACCTGTTGCTTGGTTTTAGGTTCCATTAAGAAACATGTTGCTTCATTATTTGTACTCTATCCTCTGACCCTCTTCTTCCTCACGTCTTATTCTATCCTACCGTTCTTGCTTTTCATCTCCTTCTCACTATAAATAATTGCAGGTTCTATCTAAGAAATCAATTTTAGGGGGTATTAGGGTTGGAATTTTCTACTTTAACATTTTGTTGTTTTCAAAATTAGGATTAATGGATGTTGGTGGTTTGGTCGCAGGCCTTCTTCACTGTGGGATAGAGATCCTAACCATCTGACCTCTCTCTCTCTCATGCCGAAGAACACAATTTGAAGGATTACCAATCAAGAATGATTAGTTATGGTTATGATTTAAAAGGCAAATAAAAATGCAGTTGAGGTAGTTGGATCTTTTTTTTATCATGGGACTTGCGATTGGAGGGTTTTAGGCCCAATTATTCTTCTAATTTCAAATTGCAGGTAGGTAAACTGAATATATCAGTCGATATCGATGGAGGGTTTGTGACAACCAAGGAAATAATTTTGATTTTCTTTTAGTTGGTGTTTCTCTTACTGGTACCCTTCTTTCACATTCTCAAATTATGTGTTCTTCTGTGTGGATTGGGTTGACATTTCAAAGAAAGTTTTATGAAGCACTCCAACTGCTCGATGAAATGCTTGAACCAGGTTTTTGGATTCATTCCAGTCAGTTATTAGATCGTGCATTACTACATTTAATCTCAATTTAGATCATACTTCAATTATTATGTTATTGAATACATGCTAAACTTCAATGTATGTATAGCCCATATAAAGTCTAAGAGATAGAAGGTTATGTGCAGCTTCATTGAACAAAGGAGAGTAACAAATAGTTATGTTGAATTGACTATAGTCATAGTAAAAGAGATTTGATTTTGATGTGATTTTTTTAATAAGGAGCCTCTGAATAATTGTGAAAATTTAAGGACTAAGAAACAGGACAACCCGGGTTAAATTATATAAATTGTAACAGAATCCTCAAAGGATATTCTCCTTCCTACAGACTCGCGCCTATTTTGTCACCCGCCTCATGGTATCATCTCCTAGGCTATTTTCTGTTTTTTAGGAAAAGAATACGGTGTTTTCCAGAGAGCTTCTTGCCGCCTCTTTCTTTGGTTGTTGTTCCAGGAGACAATAAGATGACATCGCTCCTCACCACCTCCTGCTGATGGCACACATTTTCACTTTACTACTCGCCAAACTTCAAAGTTTATTTCATCATCTCACATGAACCATTAGGAAAATTAATTTGAAGGCCTGTAGCCATCTCTCTCTCTCTCTCTCTCTCTCTCTCTCTCTCTCTCTGTTCACCCTTTTCTCCCGATTTTTTGTGTCCAATATTTCTTCGTTCGTCGTCGTTGCTGCTTGTTACCTATCTATGGCCACCATGTAATATTGAATAAACCAATTTTTATTTAATTAGGTTGAATACAGGTAGTTGTTTCATTCGAAGTTTGGATCTTTTTATGTTCCTTTGTTTAGGTTATAATCCAGTTGGGTTGTATCCAATATATGAGTTTATGGCTTGTTATATGTCAGTAGTTATATATGATAGTTATAATTCTGACCTTACCATGTTCAAATACAGGGCTTATCCCTTTTGTATTATGTATCTTCATTTCGGTTTATTCTTTGTAATATAGCCTTTCTAGATTTTGTAATTTTCTAATTGGTGTAATTTATTTTTGTATTGTTTTAAGCAGAACTATGTGTTTAAACACTGATTCCAATGGGTTATTGCAGGTTGTTGTTCAGGCAGACATCAAGCTTCTCCACCAGCCTTGCCAGCAACAGTTGCCTTCTGTGTCCCTGAGTACCTGTACATCTTGAATGACAACCTTACCCTTGATGCACCCTTTAACTTCTCTGCTGTGGAAGGGCAGTATCGTAATTATGTTTATGGGCATGAATATTACATATTTTTCTTTTCTTATTTCTATCCCAGAGCATCTGGTGAGGCGTAAAAAATGCTTTTTAAATTGGGTAGACACCCTACCTTTCTTATTGTCAGATTCTACGTAAGGAAGAAGGTGAAAAGTGCCCAACCATCACGCAAGTGATGAGAAATTGAGCATTTAGAAAGAAGTTTGGTCTTTGATCAAATAGTTGTTCATAGAAAATATCAATAATGAAACCACTCAACAACCCAAACAAACACATAACATATATTTACTTTACTTATTCGGTTTACAGTATAGATTTCCATCCACGTCACTTGAGTGGTCAATACCTGATATGTACAAAGATTGTTTCACAATAAGTGATTCGTTATGAGTATACCTGTTTAAGCATCAAATGTTTTGGTTATAATTTTGAATATAACAGTTGGTTGTGATGACATAAGTTACCAGAATCATGTCGATTCAGGTGTTCCTTTAATTTGGTTGCAGTTCATGAACATACGAATAAAATCAGGAACCCCACCTTTAATAGAAGATTAATAGCTTGCATCCTATTTTCATAAACAATTAGAAACCGGTAATTTGTTTTAGGACTTGTGTCATTAAAGTAAGAGGAAGGGACGTTTTAGCTCATATATATAAAGATCTCTAATGCGTTTTTTAACTCGTCAAATGGTGTGTAGGATATTGCAAATATATATCTAAATCTAAATTTATAATACAGTTTGCTTGTGTGTTTCCTGTGCTAGAGTTACCTTCTCTTTCTCTCTCACTTTTCTATTCTGGGTGTATTTGGTCTCAAGCTAAAAGAATGTGGTGGAAGTTAAGCTTATTTCTTTCACCCTCTCAGGGACACAGAAGACAATTTAATGTGGTGGAAGTTAAGTTGATCAGGTATGTAATGCTTTTAATGGCTGAACTTATAATTCAATGCAATTTAATGTTGCTTACTTTAATCTGTAATTGTAATGGAACAATAGACAATAGATACAAGAATAAAACTTGCATATGGGCTTGCAAGGCGATGGTTTGGAGTGTATATATATCACTGCAGAAGCACCAAATGATGGTAACATGCTATACTTATGGCTTTTCATAATTAAAATAAAGCAATGTAAATGTAATACTGATTTACTTTTCCATTTTTTTGTTGTCAGAATGGTTATTAGATGGACTTGCAGGGTTCTTAACAGACTCATATATTAAGCAATTTCTTGGAAACAATGAAGCACGGTATAGGCGATATAAGGTATGTTTTTTTGATCATTGTGTAATATTGGTCTTGAATCTCTTGATTAGAGTGTTTAATGTTTCATTTGAATGATTGCAGGCAAATTGTGCGGTCTGCAAAGCAGATGATAGTGCTGCAACTGCATTAAGCTCCTCTGATGCTTCCAAAGCTTTGTATGGAACACAGTGCATTAGTTTTTATGGAAAAATTCGCGCTTGGAAATCTTTAAGTTGATCTTATGAAATTATGAGGCTGTTGCTTTTTTACTTAATGGATTTGATGAGTTAAGTACTAAACATGGGCATCTATGTTTCTTTAAATATAGCTGGCCTAATGTATCAAACCACTAACCATTTACCTTTTTCCCATCTTCTTTTATCCTTCCAACTCCCCACGTTAGAATTGATAAGTCTTACCTTTGACAACTGCTTCTTTCTTACAGGTTGCAGTTCTCCAAATGTTGGAAAAAACAGACGGGCCCCGAGTCATTTTATAAAGTAAGATGGTTAGCTTTACCTTCATTCCTTAGTATTATACTACTAAACTAATAAGGCATCTTCATTCCACTGTAGTATTATTATTCTTCTTGGCAATGGCAGGTTTTGAAGAATCTGGTTGCACCGCCTAAAGATACAACTCGTCCTTTCAGCACAAAAGAGGTGATTGCTTTGATTTGACATGAAAAAAAAATATTATTATAAATTGATGGTAATTTTAAAATTTTAAGATGCAGTTTCGCCACCTTGCTAATGAAGTTGTTTATTTCTTCTACCAGTCCATTGAAAAATCTACCCAGTTATAGAATTTTCAAAGTAAGAAATTCTTTTAACGTACAATGCTTTAGTTTTCTGTAAGAAAATTATCAAAATGCAACTATGACCTTTTCTACCTTGTTAAGGCCTTTTGGCGTGTTCGGATTGAGGCGATTTTTGCTTTAGCTAGCACAGCATCCGAGGTATTATACTCATTTGTATAAATGACTGAAATACCCTTTCTTAGGTTATTACTAGATTTTCTTGATATTGGTCATTGACTGAAATACCCTTTCCTAAAGGTTAATTTTCTTTTCATGCTCAAGCCAAATGACTTTCATGATTTTGCAGAGTATTTTGTACTCAAGGTAATGCAATGAGGTAGGATGTGTATTCTCAACAGAAGAAATTAGATCGAGTAAACAAATTTCTTTCTCTAGTTAACATGGTGTTGACCAAGAACAACGGAAACCATATACGGATGAGATTTCCAATGAACTAAAGGTGAAACTCATTATTCTTTTTTACAATGATATCTTTGCATTACTACAATTCCAACTCCACTTGTTAACTATATATGTATATATTTGTACTTGACAGAGAGGTACTAGGAAGCTTCATGAACAAACATAAGAAGTTCAATCTTTGCAAGGGTGTTTTGGACATTTTTTAATCTAATTCTTTATGTATTTATCAAGTATTTGATTGTAATGAACTGAAATTTTTTTATTATTTATTTATTTATTTATTTTTGCACTTATGTTGATATGTATATGTGCTTGTGTGTAGGCTGGTGTCAAAAAGCTTGTAGATGTTCACTTATCCCTCATTTGACCACTCACATTTGGCACAAGTATTTGCAACTAACATTCCTTGTTTGATTCTTTTATTAGTTATATTAGCATATTAATTTTTTGACTTTTATTTGATCAGGTTACAAGAATTATCGGAGCAGGGGTTCATTAGTCTTAATGAATTATGAAAGGCAAGATGCAACTCTACATAGTTGGAATTTGATGTTTATCACCTTTGTGTATATCTTTTTAGTTTGTATAGCATTATTTTGTAGAAGGTGTCCCTTGATACGCAATGTAGTATTAGCTTATATAGTTAGGGAAAACCTCTTAATGACAATGTACAATTAGATCCCCTTAATATCATTGTATTACAATTTTTTGACATGATGTTATTGGATGAAATTGATTGTTTTGGTATATATTTATTTAAATATTTTTGTATTATGCATAAATTAGTATCGTAAAGACGCGTCGTAAATGCATATCGTAAATGGTTACTGAAGTTTATGACACGCAAATGCGTGTCATCCACATTTATGACAGGGGATTTCTTGATACGCATTGCGTGTCATAAATACGCGCGTCGTAAGGTTACGACACGCAAATGTGTGTCGTCTTCCTTTATGACATAGCCTTCCTTGATACGCATTGCGTGTCATAACTGTGCGTTGTAAATGCATGTCATAAATGCGCGTCGTAAATAGACGACGCGTAAAAGCGTGTCGTCTCTCGTTATGACAGGGCCTTCCTTGACACACATTTGCGCGTCGTCTGAGCGTTTTACGACACGCATTGCGCGTCGTAAAAGGCTGTTTTTCTAGTAGTGATTGGCCCAACTTGGGCGTACTCCTCTGGTACGCGGGGCGTACACGACCATATGTTGACCACCATCTGGGTGGTTGAACCAGTACGCTGGGCGTACTGGATTTACGCTGGGCGTACTCCATAACTGGGCAAAACCTTATTAAGTGCTTAATGGCTTAAGCACTTAAGTCCTAATCTCAGATCCAGGGGCCTAACATGCCCAGGGTCCATAAAGTCACAAACTTTATCACTTTGGACGTCCATAAAGTCCTAAATGCTTGGTCTTAATCCATTAAGAGCTTATTTCTATTGCATGGGACACCTACAACCTATGGGACCTTATTTTTATTACTCAAAGTCCCTTCAAGAGCCTGGAAGGACAGCTCTTTACGTCCACAACACAAAATACACTACTTTATGGCTTTTGGGACAAGAGATGCTTCTAATAAAGTAAAATGATGAGATCTAAGCATATAAGCATAAAGTTTGGAACTTTATACCTTTAGGAGCTTCTTGAGCACAAACTAACTTCAGATCTATGAACTTGATCCTATTCTCCAACACTTGGATGCAATGCCTTCCTCTTGAAACATTCTAAAACACACCAAATAAGCTTACACCCACAAGGAAGAGCTAGGGTTTTGGGGAGGACGAATGTAGGCAGTGGAGGTTGAGGATAATCAGAGGAAATTATCCATAAGGGTGTTTATATAGTCCCCAAACCCTAAATATTAGGGTTTTCTCCTGACATGAGTACGCCCAGCGTACATGAGTGTGCGCCCAGCGTACTAGGGAACGCCTAGTACGCTCAGTGTACCCTTGTGTACGCTCAGCGTACTCCTTCCTGACCCAAAAGTTGCAACTTTAGCACTTATACTTCTCATGGCCCAACTCAACAACTCCAAGGACTACAATGACAATTAAATAAAGAGAAGGGATTCAAAATATACCGGCGAAGTTCGGGATGTTACAGTTACACTGTTAGCCCATTGGGACTGTTGATAGTCCCTAGGGTTGTTGATAACCCATAGTTGTTTATTATGTTGTGTTGTATGTGATATTTTGGGGGAAATCTCTTAGCTTTGGCTTATAGTTGTGGATTAAGTATTTTTCAGGTACTATTGGTGATCGTAGAAAGACGAAGGCGTGATTGTACACACACATCAAAAGCAATGGAGATTCTACATTATTTATATTACTTTGAGTTTTAAACAATTGTATCTTGGAACAAACGGGTTTTCATAACTTGGATTTTATGTAAAGGATGGTTTTACCTTATTCAAAAATGAAAATTTTTCTTGTGAAAATGAGACGTTACAGATGTCCACATCATTAATACAGTTGATCCTGGATTTTCTCTCCTAGTTTCTTCAACATAAACCACAGTCTCCCATAATGGTCAATCAGATTCCCCCAATTTCATTCAATACAAACTATGTTGGGTTTTTATTCAAAAATAGTCTAATTATAGTGACAAATTAGACGTAATTAGCAACGAAAGCATTTTTAGATTTGAATAAACTAAAACCATTTTACCCACAAATGATCATTTTTCAAGACATAGAAAGAGTAAACAACAATAGAAAAGAAAAGATTACAACCTTTGAATTCTTTGGTTCCTTTTCGCAATTAGGAAATTGACGAAGATGACATTAAACTCCAAATAAGAAGTCATCTATAATGTATCCACCAAGGCAAGAATAAACTACCATAGATGATAGTCTTCATTTTTGTAAATGTTGTTCTTAAGCTTTAAGATTTATGATAAATAGATCTTTAAAGAGAAGCAACATTTATCAACTATAATACTTCACAAAAATGCAAGATACGGAGAGTATAGGAGTGGGAAATTGCCTTTGGCGTTTAGAGAGAGAGGAGAGGAAAAGGTGTTCAAAACTAGCTCATTTTTTTTCATATATAGCTTCCTTTAAATACCCTCATCCATAAACGGAGTACCATACTTCTTTAATATAAAAGTAATGTTATGTAAGGAAGCATGGGAGGCAAGAATTAGTCAAAACACTCCATCAAGCCATTCCCTATGTAGTCTATGGCCTGGAGATGAAAAAGAGGACACAAGGAGTGTCTTTTACACTTTCTTTCCACTACTTACACATCTCTCTCTCTCTCTCTCTCTATATATATATATATATATATATATATATATATATATATATATTGATATTGCCATATTTATACACATTTTAGGCAATATTTAAATACATTTGAAGTAATAATTTGGTTAATTGCAAAGATATGTTATACTTATTGAATTAATTTACATTTTGCAGCCAATAAAGACACTCTTGAAGAATATGGACCCGAAATGACAAGGATTGAACTTTGGAGGATTGAAGCTTAAAAGAAGAAAATTTCAGCGAAAAACCGATCTTACGACGTGACAACTCAAGGTCACGACGTGATGTGTGAAATTCTAGAAGATTAGCACGCGGGAAGGCAAAATACTTGCTCGATACAGATAGACACCCAATTCATGACATGTGACCCTATCTTACGACGTGAACCACGTATTTTCCAAAACTATATAAAGTCTTTTGCATTATCTATTGAAAGAGCTTTTGGGAGGAGAGATAGTCTGAGATATTCGACTTAAGAGGTCAGAGAAGTGTACATAAAATACCTTTGAAGGAGAAATTGCTTGAAGATTAAGAAATTGAAGAACAATTCATCACATCGGTTTGATTTACTTTAGTCATGTCGATTTCTTTTGAACTTGTGTTTTTGTTTTCAGTCATGAGTAGCTAAACTTGCTTGCTTTCATTTAGCTCGATGAAACCATGAATCTATGGCTTAGTTTATTAATTTATGAATTTTATAAGTTGGTTTTGTACATGTGTTTGATTATCATTACCTAGCATGTTAAAGTTTGTGACTTTGTTGCCTTAATTCAAGTTAAGTGAAGCCTAGTGACCATTAAATTACATGAACTTGTTTACCTAGTAATTTAGTGACCATTAAATTTCTAAAGCTAGGAGTGACCACGCCTAGATTAAGTCATAAAAGTAGCACATTTGGCTGTGCTGGAGAACATAATTGTGACCATAATTGTGTTTTCTTAGATAAATCTTACATACCCCATGTATAATTAATAACTAATTCTGTGTTTACTTGTGTATGACCATACATGGTAGTACATTAATTGGTGAAAATATTAGTAAATTTGGACTCAAATTGCTAATTACTTAATAATTGGTAACCAACTTTAGTAATCCATAATTAGTAACTAACCATAGGGAAAATGTGGATTCAAACTAATCGAAAGTGTTTTTAGTATATTGATGAAAACCATTTTTAGTTAAGTGATTAAGTTTTTCTGAACTTGAAAAATCAGATAAAACCCCTTTTTAATTATTTTTTGCTTTTAGATTAATCTGTTAGTAGTTAGGCTAGTAGACTAAATCCGTTCCCTAAGTTCGATACCCGACTGTTTGTGCTATATTATTTGCGAGTAGGTCAACTGCCATAGTCGTAATAGTCAGTTAAATAGTTGGTAAAACTAGAAGGTATAATATTACACTCATCAAGTATTTTGCGCCGTTGCCGGGGAACGACTATTTATATTTTTAATTTAATTGTTTTAGGTTAATCGATCCTTTTTGTGGGGTAAAACCTGCAAAAAGTTAATTTTTAGTATTAGTTGTTTTTCTGAAATACTGAACTCATGACGTGAGCTCTTAAAGCTTACGACGTGAACTCTGATATTTCAGGTTTTATTTTGTTTTTGCTTTCTGTTTAGTTTATCTGCTATAACACGAGGTGACATTACTACCACGTCGTGGTAATCGTTCAGTAGGACTTTTTAATTAGTTTTTGTTTGTTTTT